TCCTTAAAATTATTATAAGTTGTTACATTCACTTCGGAAAATGGAGTAGATCTAGTTGAGCTGGATTTATTATTTTTCATCAATAGCTCATTATTTTATTTAACTACGAGCAAATATGAAATCGATTTACAATATTTCTTAAACTCTTTTTCTCGATATTCCTAGTGTAGGAGCATATTGAAGACGTGAAAAATAAAAAATATTTACTCGAGCATCAAGCATCCATGATCAATAATTCTTGCTCAAAATGTCAAAGACCATAAAATTAAATTTTATGAGGTTGATATGATAAAATTTTTGTAATGTAAAGTGTAATAATAATAATATTAGGAAATAAAAATAAATATAATAACAAAATTTAAAATTTTTAAATAATGTATATTAGATTATTAGATTCTATATATTAATTATTTAATTTTTTCAATACATATTCTATGTATCTTTAGATTTAAAATACATAATAAATTATATACATATCTCTTAATGATCTAGATAATTTAGATCTTTTGGTAAAGCACTCATGTAGAGAAACAATCCAATGATTGAAACAAATAATTGAGTCTTTTAATAGATAAATACCTTATAATTTATTATCTCGGTTGGTTAGAGTTTTGTGTTGATAACGTGTTATAAAAGAAATAGTAACAATAATAGAATTGAAGAGAAAGATGTTAGAAAAATAAATTCAATAGAAAATAAAGTGAATATATAAGATAAAAATTTGAAATAATTCTCTCAATCTCTACAAAATACTTATACACAAACTAATAAACAATCAAGCCTATTTATAGGCTTTAAGATTAGGATGAGAATTGAAAGAAATTATGAACCATTAAAAATACATAAATTGTTGAATTAATTACATCGCCTTTTTATTTTCTCACATTGAATGAGGAAATGAATCACATTAAGAATTATGAGTAGCGAGAATATGAAAAAGTATATGAACATTCGTATGAGCATTCATTATTTTATAACACCTCCTTTATTTTACTCGAATTTAATTTTATTTAAAATCGAAACTAATTGAAAAATATCTCTAACTTTTGGGAGGAAAAAAAACTATTTTCTTATCCTTACTCGGACTCTTCTTCTCCTTTCCGGCTTGTTACCAATTTTTTCTACCTTTCTAGAGTAAGTTGGCGATCCAATAACAAGGCCTAGTTATAGCAAATAAAGCGTTGTATGTTTGGCGAAAAATAAATTTCATAGAAAAATTAATTCTTGAATAAGCTATTTTTCAGGAAATTGTTTTCCAAAAAATATTTTCTCGCCGTTTGGCAATTATGAAAAAAACAATTGAAAAATATATTTTAGCATTTATTTGATATAGAAAATTAAAATATAAAAACAATATATGATTTTTACATTAACAAATTTTGAGAAAACTTCAAAAAGACATATTCACAATTTTATAATATAAGATACATTTATAAAAATTTAATAAATTTTCATAAATACTGAATCTAAAATTTTAATTGAAAAAATAAAAACAACTTCTATAGGAAAATCAATTTCGAAGAAGCTATTTTCCAAAAAAAAATATTTTCTTCCATTTGGCAATTAGATAAAAAAAACTATTGAAAAATATATTCTAGTGTTTATTTGATATAGAAAATTAAAATACAAAAATAGTAAGTGATTGTTACATCAACAAGTATTGAGAAAACTTCAAAAAGGCATATTGACAATTTTACAATGTAAGATACATTTAGAAAAATTTAATAAATTTTCATAAATACCGACTCTAAAATTCTAATTCAAAAAATAAAATATACTTTTTAACCATCAAACCAATTCATCAAAATTACTTGGAATAAAATTAAGTCAATACATTTAGTAAAAAAACAATTTCTAAGTAATCCTAGGATTGTTATTTTGATAACTCAATTAAGAATTGTTTTTGTTTTTGGAAATTGAACTGATAATTTAATCTAAAAAATAGTTTTACAAATTATTAATTGTCATTTGTAGATAATTATTAATTTGATGTCAAAAGATTAATGTTGAAATAATTTGTAACTAATTATTCACTATAATTACCAACAAAAGTATAAAACTGATTAAGATTATAAATTATTGGTTTAGTTGCAAATGAATAATGTTGAAAAAATAATATAGTTTTTAACGAATTAATTTAATTTCAATTTTTTTACAAAAAAAATGCAATCTTGTAATAATTATTTCCAATCATTTAAGTATAATTTAGGTGGTGTTTGAGATAATAGTAAAAAATAGAGTAAGTTATTGAAAGATTTATTATAAAAATAATTTTAAGGTGTAAAAATGATTTGTAAGAATATTTAATGTATTTTTAAATCAAAAAAATCATTTAAGTATAGTTTAAGTGGTGTTTGAGATGATAGTAAAAAATAGAGATAAATATTGAAATATTTATTATAAATATAATTTTAAGGTGTAAAAGTGATTTTTAAGAATATTTAATCTATTTATAAATTAAAAAATCAAATTTTAGTAGAAATGGAGAAAAAATAACTAAATAATTAATAATAATTGATAAGGAATAATTAAAAATTAATTCTATATATTTTAAATAAAAAGAAGACAGAAAAAATTATTAAAATATATCAAGAGAGAGGTAAGTAATGCGAAAGCGAGACAACTTATGAGAAGGAAAATATATTCCTCTTTTTTAACTGAAAAAATATTTTTCAAAAATACTCTATCATTTTTCATTAATTGGAAATCATTTTCCATTGATTGCTTTTCTAAGCGCGAAACAAATACTAAAAAATAAGGAAAACCTTTACGCCCAAACAAACACAGACCTAAGTGGATCGGTTTTTCATCTTCATAAAATTAAGAACAGTGAGGCCCACTATTATTATTTTTAGGCTCGTCAAATGTTTTTTAAACTTCAACTCATTTCAAATTGAATCTCTAAACTTTTGATTTTTATAATTCTTGAATTCTTAATTTTTTAAGATTAGTCCATCCTTTAATTTTGTCATTTGATAATAAAAAAAATCAAATAAATAGCTCCATAATAGAAATCATTTTGCAAGATTTATACGAAACGCTTTAAAATTTTGATATTATTTTCGGATTTTATATTTTTTTATATATTTTTAGAGTATTCAAATCTTTTTTAAACTTTAACTCATTGTCTTCGAACTTTTGATTTTTAAAATTCTTGAATTTTTAGTTTTTTTTAAGATTAGTCCATCCTTTAGTTCTATCATTTAATAATAATAATAAAATTAAATAAATAGCTCCATAATAGAAATTATTATGCGAGATTTATACAGAAGTCTTTAAAATTTGGATATTATTTTTTTTATTTTTTAATATAATTTTAGACTATTCAAATCTTTTTTAAACTTTAACTCATTGTCTCCGAACTTTTGATTTTTAAAATTCTTGAATGTTTAGTTTTTTAAGATTAGTCCATCCTTTAGTTCTGTCTTTTAATAATAACTAAAAAAATCAAATAAATAGTTCCATAATAAAAATCTTTGAGTGAAATTTATATGGAAATCTTTAAAAATCTATTAGCCAAATATAAAGTTAGTTTCTAAAATAGGCATTGAAAATTGATTTGATGATTTGTTGTTTAAAATAGAATTAAAATAGATTTTGAAATTTCAAAAACATTTATTAAGGTCTTTGAGATAATTTTAAAGTGTTTTTATGTGAAAAGGCTAAATACATTTACTTTTAGGAGAGACAATCTAGAAATTATTGAGATCTTTGTCACCGTGTTCATAATACACATCAACACATTCAATTTTGCTTAAAAGGTCAATCATAGGACATACATTTCTATCATCATATATCAATCTCATGCATTTGTTAAATTTTTACCTAGTTTTGTATCTTTATAATATACACTTGTAATATTCGTATAATCATGTTTCTTGGCAAGCTGTAGTAAAAAAAAAAAAATCCTTGTCAACATTAACATCAACCACAATATCCCCTTCATACGTCATAGATAAACCTACACCTCCAAAAGGTTTATGTAACTGTCTCCTAATATGAATCATTAGCTTACCCATCCGGAGGGACCACTATGGAGTGATAATGATAGATAAAAAAATTAACAAATTTAATTAAATGAAGAAAATTGACAATATAGATAGACCACTGTCATACAACATTTTAAAAACAAAAAAGAAACTTAAGAATTAACCTATTGAAAAATTGACATACCTTATCTCCACTCGAGTCTATAACTTAGTGTTGGGAAACTTATATCATAGAGAAAGGGTAAGCGAGAAGAAGATAAGATGAAGAATTAGAGGGAAGATAAATTAGGTTATAACAAAGCTTCCTTGACAAATTAACAAAGAAGAAGAACTTATAGGTTGCTTGATAAAAAAAAAAAAAAAAAGCAAAGAAGAAGAAGAACTGAGAGTTGTGTTCTAACTTTCAATTATTACTTGAAGATAGAAGGAGAAAGAAAATTAGAGTTAGGTTAGAATTAGGGTGAAAACATTTGGAATATAAAGGGTTTTCAAGTGGAAGAAATTTGGGGTTCTTTTTTTTTTTCATTTCATGTAATTCTTTACTGGAATTATAAATTAAGAGGGAAAAAAACTAATGCCATGTGTTACCATCCTGCTACTCTTAAGCCAAAAATTATCTCTATTGGCTGAAAAAGTGATTGAAGGAACCTAATGTAGATGTAAATTAAGAATAGAGGAACAAAAGATTGTTGAAAAATTTAATAGAAGGACATCTTGTACCTTTAACCTGATCATAAGCTGCTAAGAATGATCATAAGCTGCTAAAACAACCACCAAGCATGTAGAAGTCGGTGCCAGGAAGTTGTTGATTCAACCACATCCAACATTCTGAGGCAGCATGGAAATAAAAGACTTTAGAAAAAGGCATAACGTATACGCTGCTTCTTCTCTTCGCCGTGGAGAAAGGAGGGGGGAAAAAAAGGACAAGGATTTATTTCATAATTCGAGTACCTCGCCTCACAAACGCATCTACAATCACAAGTACTTTCCAGAGCTTTCCACTTGAAATTGTTATGGCCTATGAACCCATCGTTCAAGTCGAAGCTGCTTCATAGGAGGTCCACGATTTGGCTTACACTTCCGAGGACACTTCAATTTTCCAGTGACTCCAATCACATCAGGGTGTTCAAAATTAGAAACTTCAGCAGCACCTTTCTTTTTACAATGACATCTTTTTCATCCTTTTCTCCATCCCTTGAAGTCATCCTCCACTTTTTGAACAATCAAATAAAATCTGCTGTTGCCTATGCCTATCCAAAGAATTCTCATCATTCGGTTTTGTAATTATACTCTTGCTTGTTGTAACAAGACCATTTCCTTGAACTTCTTTTCCTTCATTTTCTTTGTTATTGCCCCTTCCATGTGTTGATGGACTCATTGAAGAAGCTCCAGCGCCTTGAACGAACTTCATATTGCCTCCAGGTAATATAGGATCAACTCTTTGAGCCTTAGCTTCCAAGTTTTCTGTGAAATCCTTCCTGCGACTCAACTTTTTTGCTTGATTTCACATTACTCTTGACTGATACAAACCAATTTCTTGTGCTAGATATTGCATCTGTCGCTGTTTACATAGAAGCACTTCAAAATTCAAGCTTGGTTTTTCAACATATTTGGTTGGGCAATAGCATTGCTCGGAAATAATTCATCTTCCATGCTATGCTCCCTTTTGTGGCACAGATTATCTAGAATAGATGAGCCCACTTCCTATACATCCCTAGTGCCCTGTAATGTGAAAAGTGGATGCACAAAATGACTTAGAGAACCACCGAAAAATCAAACTTCTTCCCCCTTAAGATCAGCTAAAACACCCTCATGCTGTAAAGAAAGACACTAGCCATAAAACCTGTCATAACTAACCAGAGAGGGAGAAAACTTATCCAAAGACTTTTCCTGTTTAAGATCTCCTAAGGAGCTATTAGACTTTAAAAATCCATTTGAGAGTTCCTTTTCATCTGAACTTGTGTTTTGTCTTAATTTCCATAGATCCATTTCTTCCTCTCTCGTTGTCTTGATTAGCAAAATCATCTCCCTCGCATTCAGTTTTGTCACAAAGAAATCCAATGTTTTCGTCCAATACAGGAGATTCGTACAGATAGCTGGGGAACCAGTTTCTTATGTCAGGTGGCTCTGGCAGACAAGGGACGCAAAACAAAGTTATTATCTTTTAATTGCCGAGTTTAGATTTTTCACATCCATATTTTATTCTGAAAGAATCACAGTGAAAAGTAGATTCCCAAGATTTTCTTAGCTTTCATTGTGCTATGATTCAGTAAAGCTACAGAAGAATGTTCTGAAATTGCTACTAACGAGAAAGGAATGGGAATGATTGAGAAGAAACTGGCATCTGCAACATACAAATAATAATTAACTTCAAACCCTATATGGTAGCTGAGAATTTGCAAAACACTTGAAAGTATATCAATAGTGTGACTGTGATCTATGTAACACATGCAAGAATGATGGATTGAGCAAATGAACGTCACCTAAAGGCTTGTTCTCACAAACATTTTCAAATGAACTCTTACACTTAATAGACCCTTTTGGGTATAGCTTCTCACCAGCACGTACTTCATTGTTGTTTCCACAGTTGCCCAAATCCTTAGCCTTTTCTTCTCTCTTATTCTTACTCTCTTCAGTAGTAAATCCATCCTTCTCACAAACACTTTCTTTAATTACAGATTCTTTCAAACAATCAGCTGCATCCAAAACAGGATATTCAGACTCATAGCTTGGAAACCAGTTTCTGATGTCAGGAGGCTCTGATAGAAGTACAAAAAAATTCATTTTTTGATGAATAAAAAAAAATAAGTTTCTAACTACAAAAATGGTTTCATATCCCTATTTTATTTACGTAAGGACATTTGAAGGTTTCGTTTCTTTCTTAGATCACAATATCAACCACAAAGTTGCAAAAATTTGATCATATAAAGCATAAAAAGGAACTGGTACTAAGCAGGAGAGACAACGAGCCAAAAGAATCGGGTATATATAACAAAAGAAAGAAAGTGTGTTAGATATGAGAAACTTTTATCAAGTGAAATTCTTTTGTTGATTTCTTGAACAAATTAACTAGAAGATATAAATACATGTTTATGCTAAATAAAGCACAACAAGAACCAAAGTCATTGTTAGTTACAAGCTAAATCAATCAATTCTATCCTAACAAATAAAAAAGTAATAATAATAAAAAAGAATATGTTAGCGACAAGAAGCCTATTATTGAACTGTTCTAAATACCATAGCGAAGGACCTCACTCATCCATGATTGTGTCAATGAATTTTATTTCTGAAACCCAAATAACAAGTTACAACAATCGATTATTTGATAAAAGATTTTTTAGAGAAAAGTATGTGCAAGAAAGTAGGAGGTTAGTAATTATACCTTACCAAAAGACTGATCTTCATGCTTATCATCACCGCTGTTGTTACCAATTCTTCTGGCTTCACAAAAATTCCCTTCCTTTTCTTTACTTTCCTCTCTGATGCCAATACGCCCATCTCTCTGACACTGAAAGTCAATTTTTTAAGGAAAGAAGCTCCAGAATCATCATAAGTAAAACAAAAGATTCATATTGGTAACTAGGAAACCAGTTTCTTATATCAGGTGGTTCAGCAAGGAACCATAAAGAACACCATTGTCACCCTATTTGATAACTTGGTAACATACCCATTTCAGATCTCCAAAAAATAATGAAATCAGTGGACATTTTTGCTCAAAAAAATCGAAAGTACCGGAAGGGAGCGAGAGAGAAGAATTTGGAATCTTCACAAAAAGTGGAAGAAGAATTGGTCAGAAATGAAAAGGGGAAATTTGGGTTTGAGAGAAAGAAAAAGATGCTTACCTCCTGAGGATCGAATCTAAATAACAGATGACTTCCATCAGGGATTGATTTCGATATCTCTCGCATAAAAGGAGATTGAGTGGGGCTTGTTTTCTGATTTCACATTTTGAAATCTAGCGGGACTGTTTGGCGCCTGTTTTTTCTCGAGAATAAAGGAAAGAACGGGCATTTGCTGGAAATCTTGGTGTGCTGAAGCTCTGGTGCATTGGAAACATCGTCTTCGGGTCAATAGTCTCGCAATTAGTCCAAATATTAAACCATCAAATAGTTACGGGTTCGCCCAAGGTTGAACCGAGGTTCAAACCAAACATGTCTATAAATTATAGAATCTAATGATTCTCTTTTATGTTTTCATAGGATAAAGAAATAAATAGAGTGAAACTTTGGTTAAATTTAAAGTTTTTTTAAAATTAAATACCGTATTATAAGAGATTGAGGTAATTTTTTTAAAAAAAAATGTTGAACTTCAATCAAACTATAATATTATAAAAAGCAAGTCATTTTCGGGTTTTAATTGGTTTTTATTAGATTTTTAAAATTGAGATGACTAATTTTTTATATCTTCAAATTTTTAAAAATTGATAAATTATAAAATTAAATATTAGATAAATATATTTTTTAAAAAAAAACTCAAACCAAAATAAATGGGAAAATTAATATTGTTCATCTATCAAAAAATTAATAATGATCATTTTTTATATATTTCTAGAATTTTTCAAGTTTTTTTCAATTATCCTTTTTTGGAAATAATAATTAAGAATATTGTGGATGTGAAAAGGATGTTTTTTCAAATTTTATGATATCTTACTGGGATATTGCATTTTACCCTAATAAAAATTAAATATGACCTTCACTTATTATAACTTATCTATGTTTATACTACCCATAAATACGTATTATTAATATTGAAAATCTCTATAATTGTATTGTCATAATTGAGCTGTCAAGTGATCCAATTTTATTAAAATGTATTTACAACTCAAAGAGATAATACTTTCATATGCACGATTGGATTGGAATTTTTCACGTGCAACATTACCTTACGAGAAAGAGGCTTTAAAAATGACAGTTAGGATTCCTACAGCATTCCATTGCATGTAGACCATTTCTGAACTTTTTAAATGCAATCTTTTTATAAGAAAAACACATTACAACCAGACTCTACAGATTGCCAAATTTTCAAACTTATTATGTATTTATCCATGTTTACGTTACCTATAAAATACAAAATAATTTTTTAATTGTATTGTCATAACCGAGCTGTGAATTGGTCCAATTTTATTAAAATATATCTATAATTCAAAGAGATAATATTTTTATATACATATTTGGATTTGAATTCTTCATATGCGATATCACCTTATAAAGAAAACGAATTTAAAGATTACATTAGGGATTTCTCAGGCATTCTATTGCAATTAGATTTTCTTTTCTTTTCTTTTCCTTTCTCTGTCTTTTTTTTTTTTTTTTTTTTACCTCGTGTCTTGCTCTTTTGTCACTAGGTCCACCGAACCTAAACTGTTTTTGAACTCTTTAAAAACAATTTTTTTTTTTTGCAAGATAGATGCATTACAATTAGACTGTATAGATTGTCAAATTTTCAAATTTTTGGACAATAATTGTTATTTTATGACAAGCCAAAGGGTTAAATAATTAGGCATCTATAACAAAAATAACAAAGTCGAACATAAGAAACTTTTAGCACGTAATCGATTATTTAAACAAACTAGAAGATACAAATACATGTATATACTAAATAAAGAACACCAAGAATCCAAGTAATTGTTAGTGATGAGATCACAATCTTCAAATCTAAATCAATCAATTCTATCCTTGAAAAAAAAATCAACATGTTAGTGGCAAGTGTTGAACTATGTTAAATAAAATCAACAAATTGGTCTACATAGATATTTGGGTAAGGGGTCCATTATGTATGGGAAAGATATAACATTACTATCATTTCATCATATCCGAGATAAACCGCATTGTTTGTAGGTGAAAACAAAAAAAGTTTGATTTTACTATATTATGTTTCTATGTCATTTGAGTGAATCTATTTAATCGGGATGGAATAATAGAGTAATTCGAGATTCAGATAGGAATTGGAACTTTGACTTAAATCCTAGTGACTAGAAACCTATATTAACAAAAGAAAAGTCTCTTAGGATTACGAGTCCATATCGATATAATTAAGAAACTACCCACAACTTCATCTATGTAAACAAACTAGAAGATACGGATATGTGTATATGCTAAATAAAGAACACCAAGAATCCAAGTAATTGTTAGTGACAAGATCACAATCTTCAAATCTAAATCAATCAATTCTATCCTTGAAAAAATAAAAAATAAAATCAACATGTCAATGGCAGGTGTTGAACTATGTTAAATAAAATCAACAAATTGGTCCGCATAGATATCCGGGTAAGGGGTTTGTTATGCATGAGGAAGATATAACATTACCATCATCTCGTCCTACCCGAGATAAGCCACATTGTTTGTAGGTCAAAACAAAAGTTTGATTTTACTATATTATATTTCTATGTCTATTTGAGTGAATTTATATTATTGGAATTGAATAGTAGAATAATTTGAGATTCATATAGGAATTGGAATTTTGGCTAAAATCCTAGTGACTCGCAAACTCGTATTGACAAAAGACGAGTCTCTTAAGATTACGAGTCCATATCGATATAATTAAGATACATATGTATGCTAAATAAAGAACACCAAGAATCCAAGTAATTGTTAGTGGCAAGATCACAATCTTCAAATCTAAATCACTCAATTCTATCCTTGAAAAAATAAAAAATAAAATCTATATATCGGTGGCAAGTATTGAACTATGTTAAATAAAATCAACAAATTGGTCCGCATATATATTTGGGTAAGGGGTCCGTTATCTATGGGGAAGATATAACATTACTATCATCTCGTCCTACCTAAGATAAGCTGCATTATTTGTAGGTGAAAAAAAAGTTTGATTTTACTATATTATATTTCTATGTCTATTTGAGTGAATTTATTTTATCGAGATGGAATAGTAGAGTAAATCGAGATTTAGATAGGAATTGAAATTTTTGCTAAAATCCTAGTGACTACAAACTCCGTATTGACAAAAGACGAGTCTCTTAGGATTTCGAGTCCATATGAAACTACCGATAACTTTATCTATATAAATAGGAAGTAACTCGATAATTTCGATTCACATAAGTAAAAGGATGGAAGGTCATTGATGACTTCATTCACATAAATGGAATGCCACTAACAACAAAAAAAAAAATCATTTAAATGAAATAAAACTGGCAAGTCCTTGCGAATGTAATCTATAAAAGAAATAATTACAAGAAAATGACGAGTCCTTTATGATTGTAGCCCATGATAGAGATATTCCGTCGAATAAAAGTGATGAGTCTCTAATGACTTAAGCCCATAAAAAATCATTTAGAAAGAAAGTGACGAGTTCATTGTGACTATAGTCCGTAACGGAGATGTTCTATTAGAATAAAAATGGCAAGCCTTTTGTGACTTAAGCTCATGAAAAAAATCATCCGAATAGAAAGTGGTGAGTTCTTTATGATCGCAACCCGTAACGGAGATGCTCGTTAGAATAAAAGTGATGAGTCTCTTCGACTCAAGCCCATAAAAGAAATCATTTACTATCAAAAGATTCAAAAGCCACCGACAATTAGAAATTAGATAAAAATGGTTCAAGAGCCACTAGCGACTTTGTCCACATATGTGGAAAGCCATAGGCGATCTCATTTTGAATGAACGGAAAATAGGTAATATGACTTTGAAACAACTAACGATTTTTATCATATAAGTGAAAAGTCATCAATAGCTTTATTTTAGCAATCAAAAATTAGCTAAATAATGGTTCGGGAGCCATTTGTGGCTTCATTTATGTAGATTAAAAACCATCGATGACTTTGTTTTGATTGAGTAGAAAATAAGTAAAATAACTTCGAAACCACAAGTAATTTCGTCACATAAGTAAGAAGCCACCGATAGCTTCACTACATCGATCAAAAACTAGGATAGCATGCATTGGACATGTATATTATCTATTCAACCAATCGCAACCACACATATCAAATCACAAAGACAAACAACAATATCACATAAATGTGCAAACACCGAGACTAGTATTTTTTTGGATCCGAAGGATCATGCATCTTATGGAGATGCGAAATAAAATAAAATTTTTTTCTCAATCTAAGGCTTCCAAGATCAAGTCATTGAATTAACTAATCATATATACATGAATTAAAGTATAAGCAAAAGATTGTCTCTTGTAGTACGGATTTATAGAAAAGGATCCATCTAAGTGTTCGGCCTTTATCGATAATTCACATAATCCAAGTACCTATACAAGAAGCACTCAAAAGTAGTAGGGTGCTAGCTCAATTTTTTTTCTAACTTGTTTAGTATCTTCTCTTTAGAAATCTATTCAAGGATATTTTATGATAACCCTAAGAGAGAGGTATAGGGGTGGCATGTGTAAAGGAAAAGAGAAAACTATTTTCTCCTAGCCATGTGTGCCTTAGCTTCCTTGCTCTCTTTTCCACACCTCTCCTTATATTTATAAAGGGAGTGTCTTCCTTGTCCTTCAAGTATAAGAAAGTGGTGGGCCTCGGTGGCATTAAGTCATCAAAAGGATTCTAGATTGTTACTTCCTAATCCTCTAAGGATTATGAGTTATTATGTATATGGGCTTTTTGATCTTATCTTTTAAACCTTAATCTTCATCTAATAAGGCTCATATTTATCCTCCTATCAAAAAATCTTGCAAGCTTTTTTAATTAAACCTATTGGCCTAAACTCTTTTAACTCAATTCATTATTAATTAATTTGGACTATCTCAATAAATTAGGTTAGATATTTTTAGGAGACCCATATTAGAAAAAAAAATTCAAATTAACCTTAAACCTAAATTAGGAAACTAATTTTCTTTTTAGATAACTTACTTCTAAATTTTAGAACTAACTTTCAAATTAGGAAATGAATTCTAAATTATGAAACTAATTTCTAAAATATGAAACTTTTCATTTTCGAAAACTTTT